CGGCCGAGCTGCAGGGCCGCCTGGCCGCGCTCGAGGCCGCCGGCCCCGCCGCGCTGCTCGCCGCGCTCCAGCCCCGCGTCGAGCAGCTCTGCCGCGAGGTGAGTGGCGGCGCCCGCGCTGCTCCTGCTGCCCTTCATACCTGTCGGCGCTTTCCCTGTGCGGTGTGGGCGCATGTCCTTCCCCGCATCCCTCCGTGAAGTGCGGGAGCTTCTGGAACCGTTAAAGCCATCCCGGCGGCAAGTAACGCGAGCTGAGGAGCCCGCAGCGCGTCCCGCGCCGGGAAAGTGCTTAAAAGTGCTTAAAAGTTACCTCCGTCCGGGCGTCCCGGCGTGCGGGGGGGCCGGGGTGCCCTCGGGAGCGGAGCGCGGCCCCCCGGTGCCGGGATGTCCCCCGGGGCATCGCCCCGCGCGGCAGGTAGGGACGGTGCCCGCGGAGCCCCCGCTCCGGGCTGCAGCGTTCTGGGCTGTTTCCCCAGGGCTCCGCGCTGAGGGTTTCTGCTGCTTGCAGAGCAGTTACCCACGTATGGCGCTTTGTCCTGATCTACACCGAGGCTTTGCAGAAAGATACACTTGACCCCAAAGTTGTGGTTTTTCCCCCAGGCTCTGGCCCTTCGGGGTTTCTTGGCTCTGAGCTCGGGCCGCTTCGCCCGCTCGGTTCCGAGAGCCGCTGGCCTGCAGCGCCGGGCGGCCCGGCTCGCGGCCGGGCGAGCCGTGAGCGTCCCGATACCAGCTGGATAAACCATCCTGCTGTTAATGCTGCCGCTGCATTAACGGCCTCCACGGCGCGGGGCGATCCCGCAGGCTCCATGCCACAATCCGCGTTCACGTGCAGTGCCCTCCAGCCGGGAGCGCCGCTGCGGACGGAGGGTCGGGATGCGAGAGGGGCAGGATGTGTCGGGAAGAGCGGCGCCTTGGTGCCCGTTTGCTATGGGACGGTGGTGGCGAGGGGCTTGCTGCCCCGAAAACACGGCCGTGCCACTGGGCTTGCACAAGAGTGCCGTTCAAATACGTGTTTTTAATGCACACGCTGAATACCAGAACAGAGGGGTGCTGCTAAGCCATGCTCACAAAATGCAGCTAACTTCTTTGCTCCGGTCGGGAATTAGCCTGCCAGTCATTGCCCCAGCCCTGTTCCAATTACTGCAGTAAATGCGCCTGGAAACGGGGATGGTTTCTGTGGCACTGCCTAAGGTCATGTGCAGCCTCTTGCTGAGATTTAGTTAAGTGTGGACAGCTTGTTTTGCACTGTGGATGCTCAGATGGAGATTGTGCAGGGGAAAAACGAAGCAAAACCACATAATTTGGTCTCTAACGCAAGAGTGAGCTTGTTGAAACGTTCAGAGCAACCAAACTCTTGTCAATACCGAAAGCAAAGTTTGAAATGAGCGATGGATTCCAGGAATGCATATTAGTCATTGTGCTATCTATTAGTAGGTATTTCAAATGCACTTAACATATATGAAAGTTTCAAAAACATGTGTTTCTGAACCAAATTCCTTTCCATTGCAAAGACCTCTCACAAGCCGAGCAGCTTCTTTCTTTTCTGTGCTTCAATTTCTGTGGAGCAAGAGAATATTCCCATCAACAGGAACATCAGCTGGTGCCTGGGGTCAGTTTTTCTGCTCATTTCTGGTTTGTGTCTGTCTTTGAAGCTCGCCACAGTAACTCAGAAGTGAAACCAAAGCCCCCTGTGCTCCCTGGACACGACCCCGCGATGCTCCGTTCTTTGTCACTGCATCCAAAGCATCCATACGGTCCCCAACCTCGAGGTCTGCTGGCATAATTTCCCTGAGAAATGCACAGAAAAAGCAGTGAGCGCCATCCCCAAATGCTGCTTGCTGTTCCTTTTAATATTACTTAAATGCCTGGCAAATAAAAGGGGATAGGAAATAATAAAGGAAGGATAAATGTGTAGTTTAGGCAATAAAAGCCAGTTCGGACAACTAGGGCTTAATTCCTGGCCCTGTGACAGGCACCCGTCTAACTCTGCAGAAATTGCCCCGTTTCTTGTTGCAGGAGCTCATTTTTCCTGCGGGTTTCCCAGGAGCAGCGCGTGCCGCAGATCCCTGCTCCGACATATCCCCTCTCCAACATATTTTAGCGATGCGGTCGCGCCGTGGCAGTGTCTCCACTTGCTCCGCAGCGACTGCGCGGATCCGGCGCGCGCCGTTTTCCCACTGCCGTGAAAACGTCGATGGAGGATTATAGAAACACCCGGTTGTTGTAAACAAAGCTGGGGTGGTTTGTGCACAATGGGTTTATTGTCTGTATTGGCTGCAGAGTGTCCAGCTTAATCAGCTTCATGACAAGAAAAATTCAATGCGAGCGAGTATGCAGGGCTTGGTGAAGAGCCCGAGAGGGGAAGATGCCTTTGCTGCTGCTCCCGTGATGCTGCTGCCTGGGAAGAATGGACCCCCTTGCTGCCTTTGCCCCAGCACCTTCAGCAGTGCTTCAAAACAGGAGAAAAAAGGGAGTCACTGATATTCAAGCAGCAAAAGGCTGCCAGAAAAAAAGATCAACACTTACAGTGTAGAGAACTTTTGTTTCCCCAGTCCAAGGTATTTTTAGGTGCTTTTGGTCCTGCCCCGCTTTATCCAAGGGGAACTGCATGTTCTGCAGGAGGCAGGGGGATGACTCTGCTGTTTGTGCGGCCCCCGGGACTCCTTCTCGGCCAGGTGCGAGCCCACGCTGCTGCGCTAAGTGCTGCTCAGAAGCTCGTCCCAGCGGTGGGCAGAAATGCAGGGAACTCCAACAGCTGATAAAACTATTTAATCCCCAGGAAAAAGGGCCAGACGCTAATTCACAGGTAGCCTAATTCCTCAGGAGCCCTCAGTATTCAGACATTTGAACCCAGACTTAGTCCTCAGCGTTCAAGTCTGCATGCGCTGGCTTCGATAAGGACGTTGAATTCGCTCTCTTTGAAGTGCAGGGATGTGGACCAGAGCGATCAGGTGGTGATTTCTCTCTGGGCAGATCCCCCAGGTGAGAGGGAGGCTCCTGAGGGCTGGAATGGGCTCCCGGGCCCTCGCAGCTCCGCGGGGCGCCGTGCCTGGGGCACCCTGCACATCCCGCACCCCGCGCGTCCCAGCGGAGCCGTCTCCGGTGCCCCTGGGTGTCCCTGGGGATGTCGAGCGCCCCGTGCCCCTCGAGAGCCGTGGTGGCGGTGCCCGGGGGCTCCGGGCTCTCCCAGGAGCTTGTCCCCTCGGCTGGCTCCTGTCCCGACAGCGCCTCTGATTCCCGCTTCCCCGCAATGGCACCTGGCGCATCACTGTCCCCGGGGAGGCCGTCGCATGCAGACCCCTCGGAAAGCGCCGGTGCTCCCCGTAACGGGGGTTCTGAGCCCCAATTGCCCAGGTGGCACCCGCTGTGCGAGCGCAGCCCTGCTGCTCGGCGGCCAGCAGGCTGGACGCGGCTCCCTGTGCTGCTTGACCCACTCTCGTGGTCCCTCTTGCACCTGGGGACAGGCCAAGGGGTGCTGAGATCCCCGCTGGGGTCCGCGCCGCGCAGCAGACGCAGCCCGCGGCGCTTTTGGCGGGTGGCTTCCAAGGAGGTCCGAGGACTCCTCGCAGTCCGTGTGCAGGGGAGTCCTCACCTGCCCGGCGCGAGGGGCTTGGGCTCCAGCCACTCGCCAGGAAACTTCCGTCTCTGCTGCGCTACGTCGGCAAGAGGGACTTCCAGAAAGGGCAGGACGGGACAGGGTGCAGTGCCCAGCGCCCTGCCGGCCTTGCAGGACGTGCCCGAGGCCTTGGTGGTGTGCACGGGGTGCAGCGCCGGCTCTAAGTGCCTGTTTTTATTCCTCCTCTGCACAGAAGCTGGGCGAAGGATTAGCCAAGCTGCGCACGGCGAGAGAGGCCCCGTCGGACTGCATGTGCCCCCCAGGTAAGCGGAGGCGGCCGGGCTGCCCTGGGCAGTGCTGCTGAATCCTCTCCTATTTTATATATTCCTCTGTTTAAAGTAAAATATGCCACTAAGTGTATTTTTCCAAGCCGAAGCACTGCCTCGCGACTGAGGTTGTTAACTTGTGGCATTGCTTCGCTTTGGCCTGCGTGCGGATGAAGGAGCTTGAGGTTTGGATAAAGGAGGCGTTTGGCTACGAGAATAGAAGAGCAAATAGCTGTACCCAGTTGCGAGCGCTGGGTGTTGGGCCAAGGCAATTTAGAAGTAGTAACAAACTCACTGTGCCTCAATGTGAGTGTGATAATTGAAAGCTGCAGCTTACAGCTACAGCCCTGCCTGCTAGGAGGGTAGCGGCACGAAAGCTGCCATTGATTGTTTAAATTTAGTCTCGGAGTTTAATGAACTTCTTAACTGTCAAAACTTCCTGTTCTGCTTTGGAAGTGCATGCTCCTCGGAAACAGTAAACAGCTAGATTAGCCTGCAAAGGAATCCCATTTGTAGAAATACTGGTAAGTGCTCTGCTGTCGTGCTGCGTGGCATGAATGACTCTGCTCTGGTGCCCTTCAAACCTCTGCTCCTTTCTTTCCTGCAGAAGTGAAAGATGGGGAGAGGTTTGCGGTGCTCTGGTGGTTGAGGGTGCACGGGAGGGCTGCAGAGCAGCAGTTAGTTCCGTTTGGGTTTCAAGACACAAAGAAAAAATAGGATTTTCAGTGTTACATATGCAACCACCATAGAAAAGTGTGCAGGCTCACGTTTTCCTGATTTACTGGCTGCAGATCCTTCCAGAATACAGCTTGCAGTGTTACTCTGAATTCATGACATAAGAGACTGTTGCATGCAGCCTTAAAGGAAAAAAAATACATCCTTCTTAGTAACTCAGCAATGACCCTCTTAAATGAACTGCCACAATTGCCGTAGTGCCTACCAGCATCCACGTGCTGTGTGCCAAACTGCCCCGTAAGCAGACGAGATGACTGATACACAAATCAAGCTCATTTATGAGAATGCTGGTCCGAGTGAGTTTTCTTCCTCCGGAGAGAAGGCAAATACAGAGAACGACTTATTTCCCTGACTCTGCCCCCAATTTCCTGGCGATTAGTGACCCTGTATTTTATTCTCCCGCCTGCCTCTCTGCCCTTCCGCAGACCCTGGGGCTCTCGGGGTTGTAGCCCCTGCAGCCTGGGCACTGCTGGTGGGCCCCAGTGGTCAAGAGGCTTTTCCTCTTTTCTGCAGAAAGTAATTGAGATTTAAGAGGCTGCTTTGTGGTGCACCAAAGTCCCGATTCAGTTCTGGGTCAGCGCATCTGCTGCCTTTGAAAGGAGCGGGAAAGGGAGGAGGGACAACGGCCTCCACATGCTGCTGAAATGCTCGTTACACTCATTAGTAACGAATGTCAACGTAGTTGGGGAGCCTAAAGCGGGTGAAATGCTTTCCCTGTGGATAGGGAGCGAGGCGGCATCTGCGGCTGCCATCCCTCCATGGCAGCTCTCTTGCACGTGCTGCTGGACCCTGGCCCTGACCCTGTCGGGAAGCCTCTCAGCTCCTTCAGTGGGTAAATCGAGGGGAATTTGCCCACTTTTCTTTCTTTTTTTTCCTCAAGAAGACTGAATAGTCTCACAAACTAGTCAAACAGCCCAATCCAGGAACGCGCCCGTGGCAGCGTTGGTTGCTTCATTACCCCAGGGTGGTCCCTGTCTTGGCGCCCTGTTAGGAAAAGGGGAGAGACTTTCCTGCCTGGAAACTTTCCTCCCCAGCGCGCTTGGGGCTTGGGTTTTGCTTGGTTATAAGCAAGACCTCTTTTTGCCACGCACTGAGCTTGGGAGTTCTCTGCTGCTCTTACTTGAGCTTGTTTGGGGTTACTTTATTTATTTATATTTTCTTAACCGTGCTTTTGAGAGTGTCTCAGGGCAGGGTTCCCCGAGGCCGCGGGGATATCGCGAGCCACGGGGCTCCTCGGCCAGCAGAGGGGGCCCGGCTGGCTTGCCGTGCGCCAAGACGTCCGAATCCCGGGAAAACTAAATGGGAAAAGAGGAGCTGCGCCTTCTTCCCACCCCTTTTTCTTCATTTCCCTTATTTTCCCCGTTTCTTCCATTTCGCGGTGCTGCCGTTGGTCGGGGACACTTGTTCTCACATCATTTGTGGGGACCGTGGGCCGACGGGTGCCAGGAGGTGGGCGGAAAGCAAGGCCAGGGCCTTGTCCTTGTGGTCAGCAGCCTCTCGGTGTCTTTCCTCTTTTCATACAACTTCTCCCCCTCCTTATATCTTTAAGCATAGCCTTTTGAACGCCGAGGTGTGGAGAACCTGTTAAATGCAGCATTTGCCTTCTGGGAAGTCTTTGGGTCTGTAAAAAGGTCCCTCAAGACCTCGTGGTGCTGGTTTACGGCGTTATTAGAAGCACGAGAGCAAAATGCTCCCTTTTAAACCCAATGAAAGGGGTGAAGGAGGGGAAATGAAGTCCGAAGATCCACCTCATTCCCATGGAGGACCTGAGGGACGGAGATTTGCAGGCCCTGGCTTTGATATACGTATATATCATATATATGATATATGTATCTATCACAAACCAGCACTGAATGCTGAGTGTAGTAATCTGATGTTCCAGTTATTATGTGACAAATATTTCCCAATAATGGCTTGGCAAGGCCACTAGTAAAGCGGTGCTTCGTACCGCAGCACTGCAGATTGCTCCATTTCTGGTCAATTCAAACCATGTGGAGCATTGTGGCAGTGGGGCATTTAAAATCTTTCATATCTCTGCCGTCGGACGCTCCACTTTAATAATATTCATCTATTTTTAAATTTGTGCCCTTAACTTTAAACCTGTATTTTTTTTCCCACCTTTTTCCACCTCACTCGAAGTTTGGCACCGTGTTGTTCTGTGGTTCTTGGCTACTCGGCCGTTTTTACTGCTGTGAATGCTGCCCTCAGATGTGCCTTGCTATCTGCCTTGCTCCCCGCGCTGGCTCCCCAGGTAATTAGCACAACAGAATTTCCCTAATTGCTGCAGATCAAGGAGCAGAGGCCTCTGTTTGCTTTGTAGTCCTGACAAACGGCAGCTGCTCTCCAGCAGCCAAATGCGAGGCTCGAAATTCTCCTCCGCGGGCTCTTTGCTTCACACTCCTGCGCGATAGGAGCCCCTTATCACTGCCCTGTTCTCACATCCCCAGGATCTGGAGCTGCAGTCCTGCCTTTCCCAATCACCGTGAATTCTTCGGGATAATTAAACAGAATATCAAACGAAAGCAAATATTTCTCCTTTGAATTAGCTGCAATCTCTGCTTGGGAGTTGCTTTGCATAGCAGTCAACAGAAGTGTCTGAAGTGCTCCTTACTGTCACCTCAAGTGCTGTTTTTCTACTAATGGAAGCATTAAAACACAGTATTTTCCCGTAATTTCCGTGATTTATCTTAATGTTAAGATGAAGACCTTAACATTACTGTTTTTTTTCTTCTTTTTCTCCTAAGCCCACCTTACTTTCCTGTGAGATCCTTGTCCTCTTCCCATCCCTTACCAGTCATTTATTTTCAGAGGGATTTACTTTTTCCTTCTGACTTTGCTCATAGGAGGCTAGAACATTATTGCTAGTTATAGTATTAATACTATTTTTTCTGGTTTTATTTTTTTTAATATATATACAAACACAATCAGAATCCTTTCCTGCACAGAAAAGCCTTTGTTGGGAATAAAAAAGAGAGAGAGAAGAGAGAGAAAGAGAATCAGGAGTCAAGTGTGAAGCATCTAAATGTTACAGCTTTTGGAAAAATGCTGCTTGCATCTCTTTGAGCACAGAAATGACTGCGAGCTCCATCCCGTGAGCCCCTTCCCGGCCACGACTGCTCCATGCCCATGGATGTCAGCGGGTGTCTGGAGCGCTGTCCTTGCCCCACATGTGGGACCGGTGGGTCTGCTTCTCCCAGGAGATACCTGGAGCCATGGTGACCCCATAGGATTTAGGGGAAAATCCTGCTTTGGGGCAGAACTGGCAGAGCTGCTGAGTGCCAGGCTTGGTGCTGGTTTCAGACACATCCCGAGGAGCCTCAGCCAGGGCTTTAGGGAACTTTCTGTGCAGCTTCAGGACTAATCTCTGCGTCCCAGGGTGGTTTCCAAGAAGTGGTTGCAATAGATGGAAATAAATTGGAGGGAAAGCCCCAAATTGCTCTTGAACCTGGAGCCTGATTTAGAGATGTCCCTGGTTTATTTGCACCCGGGATAGCTTGGCAATGCTGCAGCAGCGGTCGTCGTGTCGTGCCAATGGCAGGGGGACGTGTGGAGTGACAGTTGTCAGCAACATCCTCCTGGAGGTGACATTTAAATGCTCGACGTGACAGGTATTTTCCTTGGGAACTCGCACTGGACTGGTGCTATTCCCAGAGCTGCCCACAACACTGGTGCAGAGTCAAAGGAGTTGGTACAGGGGCAGCTGGGCTCAGTTTTTGGCCTTCATAAAATCCCTGGCAATAGGTCCTGGCCACAACGTCTCCCTTTGAGGCCGCGGGCAGTGCTGTTTGTCCTGACGCTCTCTGGGGACGCGAATCCGCCGGCGCCGAGCGCTGCGCTCGGAGCTGGCCCTTCCGCAGCTGCCCTCGTCCCCAGGCCGCTTCGGCACAAACTAATTAAAAAGGGTGACATCAGTGGGAGGCGGGCTTGGACATTTATTTTTCCTGAGTCTGCCAAAGTTATTTTGAGTGTAATGAAAACTAGAAAAATAAACCCAATGACCGTCTCCTGTGCGAGTGGCTCTGGGGAACTTTATCACTGCCTTGATGTGCGAAGGCGCTGGTCAAGCCCAGGGCTATTTGCTGCCCACCCCTCCAGCTCTGCTTCACGCCAGATGAGGGTCGGAAGCAGTTTGGTGTAGTGGTCACGAACTGACTCCTCTGGGGCTTTCGCCCTGGGTCCCGCTTGTTTCCTCCTCTTCCTTACTCCTTACTCTTCCTTACTCCGTTTCTGGCTGTTCCATCGGTGTGTGCAGTGACTTGAGC